TAATCCCATTCAGCTCTCCCGTGGATCAGATCCTCCTAGACAATCCATGTCAGTCTCAACTCTGTCATTGTTTAGACTTGGTCTCTAGACTGTGGGCCCTGACATGAGGATGGAGACAGAGCTTTGCCACATCTCCTTGCTTTCAAAAAGTCTTCCTAAATACCAGTCATTTACAATATCACTTTCATGTTTTTTTGCTATGTTTGCATACTACTGATACTACTAGTCTTAATATTTTTCTTTAAGTTGATTCATTATTTACTCAAATAAACATGGCTTTGCCCTGTGCAATATTACCTATAAAAGTCACAGGTTTAAAATCTTACAACCTTATGAAACGATACTCGTTATATCGCATCAGTGGGTCTCATGTCACAGAGTTCCTGAGTCCAGAGTTCTGAGCTATCACTACTTATTTGTTCACTATATGAATGAGCTCTTCTTGGTTTGTGTATTATTTCTTCCTTATAGTTCTCTATTTCCTATTCTTCAACCTGCTGTATTTTAGATGTTCTTCATACGCCTTACAGACTACATGTCCTATAAATCGGGATGATGGATATAAGAAGTATGAATAGAGCCCCAAAGCCCAAGTCCTAGTTCCAGCTCCTCCACTATTCAACTCTGAGGTTTTAGTAATCACTCTGAGCCACTGCCTGTTCATGCTAGAATGAGGAGTGTCCCAGATGCCCTCACTCTTTGAGGCTCACTATGATCTGAAGCACATGAACCAAATATATAGCATTAGTTCATTTACAAAGACAAAAATATTTCAGAAAATATTTCACAAAAATATATCTAGTATAATGGACCAGGAAACATAGGAAATAGTACCCAACTGTAGTGTAATTCTGACTTTTAAAATCAAAATATAAAGTAAAATGTTAATGAGATTTTTGACAGTATTTTGTTCTAATTTTTATAGAAAAATATACTTAAACGTCACTAAATGCAATAAGGGCTAACTATAAATTTTGGGGAAAAAACTTATACCAAAACCATGTGAAACCAATTCTAGTGTTTAAGTTTTGCTTTTAATACACAACTCTTTCTCAAAAGGCCATCAATACAGGACAGAAGAAGTTGTTCATTGAAACCATGGACGATTGCCCTTATTATCACAGTTGTTGTGCTGGTTCTAGCAATAATCATCGGGCTGCTTGTTTATTACTTGGCATTTGGTAAGACTCTATCTCACTGTATTATTTTGAAAATTTGAAGATCTAGTCAATTTATTTCAAAACCTTAATATGACAGAAAACCTTTATAATATTTTTAAATGCAATTTTCATTGTAATAATAATTTGCGTATGTATACATACTTTGTATAATTCAATTTTCACATAAATTTGTCTACATTTGGGAAATGATAATTCTTTATGCATAAAAATTACTTCTAGCATTTTAAAATTTGACTTGGCTCCCATAATATTATCTCTTGAACAATGCAATAGATTCACATCATATGTTATTATATGGTTTAATACTGAATGTACCAAGAGTAAAAATACTACTTTAGTAGCAATTCTAACTTTGAGGTCAACTTGTGGGAATATAATACATTCTATTATTACTTAATTAACAACTTAAATTTATGAATTATCACTAACAGGTGATAATTGTGTCAGGCCGTAACTGACAACCATGTGACTATGAGAATGTGTGATCTTCACAAAGAATTCGAAGGAGGTGTTGGCCACAGCTGTTAAGTATTTAATTCCCAGTAGTTTAGCAATTATAGGAGTTTTTTGTATGTCATCCCTTCTGATATTTATACAACTCATACTAAAGAGAAACCATCCACTTTTGTTCTCCCTTCCAGATCAGAAGTTTCACTATTACCAAGCCTCCTTTCAGATTCCCAGTATTGAATATAATCCTGATATTTCAGTAGAACACTCAAAAATTAGGACAGACCTGAAACAAAAAATCAATAATGAGGTAAGCCTGAGCTTTGCTGGCATCATTCCTACACTGACAATACTATTGTGAAAAAGGAGTTTAAAATAAAATAAGAGGCAATGTGAGAACCCATCAAACTGCACCTATGTTAGGGTTGCCAGACAAATATAAATGCCTAGTTAAATTTTAATTTCCTGAAAATATTCTTCATGCAATACTTTAAACATGCTTATACTAAAAAATCATTCTTTTTTATCTGAAATTAAAACTTAACTATTTTTATTTGCTAATACTGGCAATTCTAGTCAACATTTTCTCAGGAAAATTGGAGAAATACATTAAACAAAGGATAACTGCACCATAGACTGAACAAGGCCAACAGAAAAATAAATAGCTCAAATACCAAAAAAAAAAAGTTATTAGCGTTATCTAGAAACATAACAATCATTCAGGCACAAACAACATTACCACATATCATATATTAAGCACCTACTGTGTGTATGACCTGATACATTTCCTATTAGGCAACTTACACTGAAATTCATTCCTGAAAATATCCCACCAAAACACACAGACGAGCTCTTTAGTTGTATACACAGCTTCTACTGAGGCTAGCATGGACCAAGGATGAAGGATCATTCTTATCAGGTTCAGAAATATTTCTTTAGCCATTTTCCAACCCAATAGCAGAAGCGGATGAAATGAGTTGAAGGATGCAACTGAGTGGGACTGGCATGACTTTTCAAAAATACATCTTCAGGAAATTTTGATTAGGGGGGAAATCAGAGAAGGATAAAAAATATTTTGTTTCAGGAAGCAATACACTGAATTAGAGACAGTCAAAGCTTTGAAGTCAGAACATCTAGGGTCATATCCCAATTTTACCCTTTGTCAGCTTACCAACTTTGGGAAAGCTATTTAACCCCTCAAAATTTTTACTACAAAATAGGGATAATTTCATCCACTTTCCTGAGTTATTCTGAAGATTAGTTAATATTGTGAATAAAAAGCATTAGGGGGGAGGGTATAGTTCAGTGGTAGAGTGCCTGCTTATCATGAACAAGGCCCTGGGTTCAGTCCCCAATACCTCCATTAAAAACAAACAAACAAACAAACAAACCTAATTACCCTCCCCCAAATAAAGTTAAACTAATACAAAGTATGAAAAATAATGTCTAAATAAACGTTAGCATCTGTTTCCTTTTCTTTCTGAGAACTTTTCATACATCTCTCCTGGAGCACTTAACACTTTGTTACATCATTTTATTTTCTATGTCTATGTCCATCTGGATTTGTGAAGGGATAAGTCTACTTATTCTTGTGCCTGTCACACTGTGTGCCACATGGTGGGACCATAAAATACTTACAAGGAGATGACTAGCAAATGAATGGCCACTTCATTAGTATTGGCCCTGTCCTCTAGAGTATAAGTGGAAACAGCATAAAGAAGGGAAGCAGATTAATTTGAATCAGGATTTGGCCAGTTGTTTCTTTAACACCAAATAGTAAACAGTTTCAGCTTTGCAGGCCAACTGGTCTCTCTGCAACTACTGAAATCTGTCAGTGTCATGCAACAGCAGCCACAGACAACACGGCAACAATCTCTGTGGTCTAATAAAACTTTATTATGGACACAGAGTTGAATTTTGTAAAATTTTTAGTGTCACAAAATATCATTCTTCTCTGGATTTTTTTCAACTATTAAAAATTGTGAGATGATGAGCCATACAAATACAAGTGGCTGCCTGGATCTGCCCTACCGGCTATAATTTGCTGCCCCCTGATTTACACTGTAAGTTATAGTTTTAGCAAGCATTTTCCCAGAAGAAGCAATTAAAGCCAATATCTAAAATGAATTTTAGAGACTTCTTACAGAGTTCAATAATCTAGACTTTATATGCTCACTTGCCATGGATAATGCATAGTTCAAAAAGCTGTTTTAAGGGGAAACAACAAAAAAATCTTAAAATTGGAAAGAGAATGGAAGGCAAGCAGAAAACATAATAATACATGTAGAATATGAAATATAAATATTATATAAAAGTATATATAAATGTATGTAGGAAATCTGGAAGTACATATGCCAAAAGTGTAAATAGAAGATTCCCTATACTGTGATTTCAAAATGATTTTAAGGCTTTTCATCACATTTTGTTGTGTTGCTTGCCTTTTTTTTAAATTGAAGTATAGTCAGTTATAATGTGTCAATTTCTGGGGTACAGCATAATGTCCCAGTCATACATATATATACATATATTCATTTTCATATTCTTTTTCAGTGAAGGTTATTACACAATATTGAATATAGTTCCCTGTGCTATACAGAAGAAACTTGTTTTTTACCTATTTTTATATATAGTGGCTAGCATTTGCAAATCTTGAACTCCCAAATTTATCCCTTCCCACTCCTTTTCCCCCGGTAACCATAAGATTGTTTACTGTTTCTGTGAGTCTGTTTCTGTTTTGTAGATGAGTTCTTTAGTGTTCTTGTTTGCTTTATATAACTTTTTTACAATGAATATGTATGTTTTTTCACATAAATGTGCATATATGTATATAAAACTATTGCCTTAAAAAGCAAATGTCCCTTCATAGTCAGAAGAAAAACACGTGACCATTCCTTTTTTTAGTAAGTATTGATTTCTCATTCCTTTTTTTAATAAGTATTGATTTCTCAGTAAGTTTATGCTCATCAGCCTATCCAATATGATGTGACACTTCACCAGAGAAAATTTCACCCATCAAATCAGAGGAGTCAAAAACACCTGTTCAACATTCACTCACTTTCACAGTTTGGCAGCTCTTCTCTGCTGATTTGTGGAATTAATTATTGAGACTCAGGTTCACATAACGTTTGGCATACGATCAGTCATTTTTCTAAGAAGCCAGCTCAATGAGTCAATGGTAGTAAATAGGTCTGTAAAACCACAGACTCTGTAATAAGCTGCGGTTTTAATAAGAAATAATTTCTTCTAGGAATTCATACTACAGAGAAACTGTCCCATGTAGGAATTCTAAAATGGTATACAAATGGCATATATTGTCTTATCTTATTTATAAGTAACGATTTAATGCATTTTTCTTGATGACTATATTTATAATAAATATTCATTTATCTTTTCCCCATTTACCACAGGATCCAAACATGGCCTAAAAACTTTTACTAAAGCCTAAAAAACTGATCTTTCAATCATATCCATGAGGTTGATAACTAAGCTTGAATGACAGTGGGTGCTAAGTCCATTCATAGCAAGTTTTCAAAGAAACTCAGTCTCTGCACTGGCTTTTGAAATATGCAGCTTAATTCAACTCTTTACATCAACCATCTCTGACCATGTGACAAGCTATTCAACATTCAATTACAGGGATGGCCTTTATGACAACAGGACTATGCCTCAGTGAGCTTTTTGGGGATAGTTATAAACAAACTTAGAAGTAAATGCTGTTTGAATCACTGCAAGTTTTATACAAGCATTTTTATGATATATTGAAATGTGTGACATTCATATTTAACAGAGTCCTTTACTGTTGTTTTATTTTCCTTTTCTCAGATAGATAAAATATTTCAAAGATCCAGTTTAAATCATCATTACATCAAGTCTCATGCTGTCAACTTTAGGTAATCACAACTAATTCCATTATATGATGAAAAGGCAACTTTGTATTATTTAGTTATTCTTCAATTATTTGCTTTGTGAATACCAAGGGCAAAAATAATTTAATACTATCACATTTAATTGTTATTCCTCCTGAATGGAATACCTATAGGGAGAGAGTTTCTTAACTTACATAGAGATGAAATATATTCTACTGGTTGTCTCTTTAAAGACTTTTGCATTTCAGTTAAAAATTCTTACAATCACTAAAAATTCCTCTCAGTTTTACTTACATTTTTAACAATAAACAGATGTATGTATTTTTTAATCAAGAAAAACATATATACAAAATTCATGAATTTAACAATTGGTCTTGATTTATTCATCCAGAAAAAAATTCTAGAATTCTCAGATATTCTCCCCTCCCTAAATATGATCAAGTTTTATAGGCAGGAAATAATTCAGGTATTAACACCTACATGATGCAGAAAGGGGAAAATCCATGACAATAAAATGTATAAAATATTTATGTTGCATTTTCTTGAAGATATAACTAATATTTAAATGAAAAGGTATAAAATAATAATTACTATGGCTATCCCCTCATTCATTTATTCTGGAATTCTTTTTTTCAGGTCAAGTAATGAAGGTTTGAAAACAGATGTATTGCTTAAATTTCAGTTTGTTTCTAATGATGCAGACACAATAAAAAGGCAAGCTGATGACATTTTGCTACAGAAGTTGAGATTAAATGAAAGCTTCTTGAAGACAGATACTTCATCACCTTATCTTAGAGGCAAGAAATACCATTTTTCTTCCCTTGATACAGTTTATCATTTTAACAATCTTCTTATCTACAGAGAAATCTTCTTTATTTCACCATAAAATGAAACCACTTTTCATTTTTGTCTCTTACTTGATAATAAATAAATCCCCACAGAACCAACACCAAAGATCATCTTTCTTTGGTTAATACGGAAACAATCATAAAATAAGAATTATATGATAACTCAAACATAGTAGTATTTCTTACTTTTTTAAAGAAGAAGTCTTGGTCAAATTGTTTGAATTAATTAAGTATTCATGTGATAAAAACCTACATTTTGCCACTCATATAGTAACCCATAGTAACCCATATATAGTAACCCATATTTCTGTTGCAATACTCTCTCCAATCTGAATTCAGAGTGTAAGAGTGGCGTGGACACAGAAATCACAATATGTGAGGCACGAACATGATTTGGCTCCAGTGAAAGGAAGTATTTTTTCTTAACACTCCCACAACCCTTCCTAAGCACAAAGGATAGGATTGCCGAAGGGCGTGGAGGGGATAAGGAAGACAAAGATGCCAGACTCTGAAAGTACCTGTTTTAAACATAAAAACACCATCTCAGTTGTAACACAGACACTTACCTGGGTGATAGATGTCTGGGGTCTAAGATTAAACAAATCTAATTATAATTCTTAGACTACTATTAGCCTTCTAAATTAACTTTGAAATTGTCATATTTTACCAGAACAGTGTAAGTTGTGAAATGAGATTTAAAAGCTGACAGATAATTACAAGTTATAAGTCTTCCCTAGGTACTTTTTCTCCCAAATTGTTCCAGAAGGCTAGAGTAGTTATATTATGTTTAAAGATGAGAAAACTGTATCATGGTTTTGGGCAAAGTCAGAAAGAAGAAGAAATAGCCTGAAGATAAGAAGTCTCTGTAAGTAATGTTCAACATTCAGTTTTGCTAGTCATGCAGATAGAACAGAGTAGACTCTGAATCCAACACACCGGGCTTTAGATACTAAAGACAAGAATTCCTGAAGGAAACATTTTGCTGAAGAGATGTAAGTATGTATGAAATTTTTGTTTTTAAAAAATTTAATTTTGACTTTCAGCTCCCATTAAGCCAAAGATTAGAAACTTAGACTCCATCATTTTTGGACCTATGCCTCACCCCCTCATCCCCACTCTGTGATGTTAGGGGACTTAGGTCGTTCAGTGTTACTGGATCAGGTTGGTCCATGAAGGCACCTGCTGGTGATCCATCCATCACTGGGTCTTCACTTGCCTGTCTAAGTAAGTTACTATTAAGACATTCCTTATCCCCAGGGAATGGTCTCCTCAGATTCATAATTTATCCTGAGACTTCTGTGCTTCACAAGGGTACTTGGAAATTAATTTGTGTATTTTTAAAATTTTACTTCTCTCTGCAAAAAAATTATAATTCCTTAAAAATAGGAAATGTATCTCTGTAATTACAATCATATTCCCAAGATTAGCAAAGAACTTAGCATGAAGCAGGAACTTGGTATTTATAAAGTGTAGTATTTTTAACTCTAAATGAACTCAGTCTCTTGAAAGTGGGCATGAAACAAAAGCAGTCTTCTAAAATTAATAAATAACACAGAACACTGAGGAATCCAGAACATTCCTTTTTTTTTTTTTTACATAGGGTTTTAAAACTACGCTTAAAAAAAAAAAAGGAGGGGGAGAGGTTATTACATATAAAATTTAAAAACCAAAAGTTGCGTTTCATAGGGTAAGAGAAATCATTAAAATACACATAGTATAAAGAAAAAATGCACAGAATGCACTTCAGGAGAGACTGCAGAAACCAAGACTTAGAACACAGAAGACCTGTGACTCAGCAGTAAATGCAGTTAGAGCAGTTCCTGCTTTGCAAAATGAAAATAGTAACAACAGTGGAACGTATTCTTTAGGAAAATGTTTAAAAAGTTTTGAAAAGTACAAGTACAAACAAATTAATATAATGTATTATTTTATGGACTTTCTCAGGTATCTTTAAAAATGCTGATACTGGGAAGCTGGAGAACTGGGAGACTGTACCTTTCTAAGAATTGTTCACTTCTTCTAGCTTGTCCATTTTATTGGCATTAGTTGCTTGTAATAGTCTCTTATGGCCCTTTGTATTTCTGTGGTATCAGTTGTAACTTCTCCTTTTTTGTTTCTGATTTTATTGATTTGGGCTCTCTCTCTTTTTTTCTTGATGAATCTGGTTAAAAGTTTATCAGTTTTGTCTGTTCTCAAATAAACAACCTAACCTTACAACTAAGCAACCAAAGAAAAGAAAAACAAACAAAACCCAAAGTTAGTAGAAGGAAATAATAAAGATCAGAGCAGACATAAATAAAATAGAGACTAAAAAAAATTATGGAAAAGATTAATGAAACTAACAGCTGGTACTTCAAAACAATAAACAAAATTGATAAACCTCCTACAGTCTGTTGGGTGGTGCCAGGTCTTGGGGCTAACAGCCCAAGCAAGATGTCAGCTTCCAGGAGAGCTTATGCAGATGAATACTCCCTGATACGTTTGACACCAGCTTTTATGGCCCAAGGGTGAGCCACAGACACCCCTCACCTCCGCAGGATACCCTGTAAGACCAGCAGGCAGGTCTGTCCAAGGCTCCTACGAAATCATTACTTTGGTCCTTGGCCCTGGTCCACATGAGATTTTATGTGCACTCTTTACAAGTGAAGTCTCTGTTTCCCCTAGTCTTGTGGAGCTCCTACAATTAAGCCCCACTGGCCTTCAAAGCCAAATGCTCTGGGGGTTCCTCATGCTAATGTCAGGTCCCCAGGCTGGGGTGCCTGATGTGGGGCTCAGAACTCTCACTCCCATGGGAGAACCTCTGCAATATAATTATTCTCCATCTTGTGGGTTGCCCATCCAGGCAGTAGAGAACCCAAATATATCAAGTGTGTCCCTCCTACCGTCCCGCTGTGGTTCCCTCTTTATGCTTCCAATTGTAGAAGATCTTTTTGAGTGGGTTCCAGTCTTTCTAACTGATGTTTGTTCAGCAGTCAGTTGTGGTTTTTTTGTGTTTGTGAGAGGAGGTGAGATCAAGGTCCTTCCGCTCCACCATCTTGACACTATCTCTGAAACAGAAGTTTACTAACACGTATACATGGGAGGTAACTAGGGGAAAATGAGTAACTCGGAGAGGTGGCTTAGAATTCAGTGTTAGCATCTTCACCAAAGAACAGGAAATTTGTGGAGAAATGGCAGGACAAAAGAAAGCAGTTTTTGTCTTCTAGGAGCAGAGATAAATGCTAGTTAGTAAAGCATGTTACGCAGATTCCTCTGGTGCCCTCTCCAGGCTGATAAGAGCCTCAAGTTTTCCGTAGGGACTAACCTTTTTCCTTTCCGGTAGAGAGGAAAGGAGGGACACCTTGGTAATTTTATGTCCTGTTTTTAGGCAAATAGGGAACTCACAGAAGGCTTTTCTTGTATCTGCTTCTTCTCAATTACTTTCAGCTCAAAATAATTCTTATGCCAAAGAGGCATTCTTTTGGAGTGGCATAATCTGTTACCCTTCACACTCCAGGGAGGGTATAGGTGGTAGTCTTTTTTAAAAAATAATTTGAGTCAATTATGCTTGTTTTTTTCCACAATGTATTTAAAATGTATTAACTTTGCCTCTAACTCTACGTGAATTATCTGGGATCAAAGTCAAATAAATGTGATATTACTTTTATTCACACAAGCATAACCTAAAGCTTTTGAATATTTTAAAATCATTTTTCTAGTCTCCAAGTTTTCAGCCAGTGGCTCTTTTACCTTTTAAATTTAGTAGTATACTTTATAGCAGTTTTTATTTAGCATAAGAATAAGTTAACCAGAAATGTTGTTTTTCCTATTTCATTTAACCCATTTTGTGGTTTGTTTTCAATCAAATACTGTGCTATCTTCTTTAGCCAGATCAAATATCCCACACACTATTAAACTAAATTTTATTTTAGGCAGGAAAGTGAGTATTTAGTTAGAACAGGAAAAGAAATCACAACAAATCACAAATTTTAAAAAGCTGACTAATACTCTAAATATCATACAATCCAGAAAAAACATTTTTTAATTCATTAATTACCTCATATATCTCTATAATATCTTACTATTTTCCCCTTACATTTTCTTTTTGGCTGTATACTCTGATCACCTCTTCAAATATCAATTTTTTTAACATTTTCTATAGAATAAAAAGATAACTCAAACTTTCTACCAGTATGCTTGATTTTTAAAATATTATTTTCAAATAATTATAGACTCATAGGAGGTTAAAAAGAAATTTACAGAGAAATCTCATGCACTTGTACCCTTCCCCAGCCTTCCATAATATAGTACAATATCAAAACTAAGAAACTGAGATAGCTATAATCCATAGAGCTTATTAAGACTTCACGGTTACATATGAGTTCATTTGTATGTGTCTTTGTGTGTACAGATCTATGCAATTTTATCACACATGTAGCCTTGTGTGACGACTACAATCAGTATATACAACTGTACAATATCAAAACTCCCTGATGTTACCTCTTTAAAGTCACACCAATCTCCTCTATCCATACTTAGCCTCTGGCAACCACCAATCCATTTTCCGTAATTATATTATTTTATGAATTTCACATAAATAGAATTATGTATTTTGTATCTTTTTGAGATTGACCTTTTTTGCTTAGCATAATTTTTTGAGATTCATCCATGTTGTATGCATCAAACATTTTTTCTTTGTTACTGCTAAGTAGTGTTCCATAGCATTCTACCTATTTACTGAAGAGCATTTGGGGAGTTTCAAGTTTTGAGATTGAAATGAAGCCCAGTGAAGCTGCTATAAGCATTCATGTACAAGGTCCTTCATGAAAATGTCTCCATTTCTCTAGGATAAATGTTGTAGGGTATAACAGCTGGGTTGATAATCATTTTTGGTTTTGAAAGGAACAAACAAGCTACTTTCCAGAATGGCTATGCAACTTTGCATTCCCATCAGCAATATATGAGTGACCCAGTTTCTCTGTATCTTTGCCAACATTTGATGTTATCACTGTTTTTCATGTTAGCCTTACTGATAGCATTCCTACCTAGACTCTCTTCTATTTAACTCATATTTTAATAAATTGGTTTGGCAGTAATGAATTAGATACAGTCACCCTTCCTGGCAAGCAATATCCTTCCCCATGGCAATGATTTTATAATTATGAACCAAGATTTTCCCAGGGTCCATATATTGTCAGAAGAAGAGTTTAATTTATATCTAGGCCTCTCCTTTTTGTAGGATTTTATTTATTTATTTATTTTATAATTTTTTCGGGGGGAGGAAGTAGTTAGGTTGATTGATTGATTGATTCATTGATTTTAATGGAGGTACTGGGCATGGAACCCAGGACCTTGTGCATGCCAAGCATACACTCTACTACCACTGACCTATATGCTCCCTCCTGTAGGATTTTATTTAAATTAAGAATTTCTTGATTAATTCAGTTCCTCCCAACCAGAAATATTCATGTTATATAGGTGGAGTATTTTAAATTATACTTGTTCCATTGCTGAGCAATCATCTTTTTTTTTCCAGATATAAGTAAACTACATGCAGAGCATATCCTGAACAGCTGTAAGTTCAAGAATATTATCAAGATGCATAAAATTCAAATACTTTAAAAATATTTCCATGTTTACTTTTCCCCAAAAGTATATAATGTTTCTGAATGGATACATAATTTAACTCGATCATGGGGAAAAAAACTGTTGCTAATAATTGGGAATGTCTATGTGAATGTACCTGCTCTCCTCACAAAAGTTTTGCTGACTTTTTTTTTATGAATTCCCTTTTATTTTATCTTATTTACTAATTTTTATTTGGTTCATTTTGTTAAAGCAGAAAATACTGCTTAGAATTTAATGACACTCTCTAACTTTAATATGTGAACTTTGACATTTATGCTGTAGTGGTATAATGACTGTAATACTATACAAGTATTTTAAAAGAGTAAAAATGGTATTTTTCTACTGTAAGTAGTGTACATTTCACACTCAAAATTGTCAGGTATCACTACAGTAAACTGCTACCTACAAGAACAGGACCCAGAAAAGTACGAAAAAAATTTTAAGTTAAATTGCAGTAAATATATCAAGGAAGGTGTTTAAATTTTTTTAAGATAATCCCTTTTTCAAGGTGAATAATCATTTCTGTCATATAATTTTGATTAATTATTTTAAGGTTACCATCTTTAAATATGTGCCAAACGTACCCACACACATTCATAACTCCGGAAATAACCATATAATTCCCTTCGACAGGTTGTGGTTTAGGGAGGGAGTTCCCGTCCATGGAAAGAATTGCTAACGGTAATGTTGCAAAGAGAGCTGATTGGCCATGGCAAGCCAGCCTTCAGGTGGATGGTGTCCATTTCTGTGGCGCATCTTTGATCAGTGAGGAGTGGCTCCTGACTGCTGCTCATTGCTTTGACATGTAAGACCTCATTCTGTACCAACCAGATCACCAGTTTCATCTCTTTTTCTCACCTTCACTTCCTATAATTCTTATCCCTCTTTCATTGATCATCTTAGGCCCTAAAATGGTATTCATAACTGTCCAGCAGACTTAGAAGAAGCAACAATTACTGAAGAATACTAAAAAAGAAAAGAAAAGAAAAGAAAAAACTTAAAAGAGTACCTTCAGTTCCAACTGCATATATAATCTCCAGCAACCTCAACTTTAAAAACAAGTCAACATTGCCAAAAGTTAAAGGCATTCACCAGTTTTCCTGAGATATCTTGTGGATTAAAAAAAAAACACTCAGTTAATAGTATCCCAACTTACAAACTAATACCTGATTATCCCACTTGAATTATCTCTGGTGCTGTGCTTTTATTATTTGTATGCCTTCTGAAGATTTAACATATGAGACACTTGGAGATAATAAAGACATACAGTAGCCCTAGAGAAATTCATATGAGATGGGGAAATATTCTGGATAAAATATTATCTAAAAAAGAAAGGATGCAAAAACAATATATAAAGTTTGGCTCCAATTCTCTCTCTCTCTCTCTCCCTTCCTCTTTTCTTCCCTCCCTTCTTTCTCTCTCCATAGATATACATACATTTATATAACTGTGCATGGCTATGAGTGCACAGGTGGGTTTACATATGTCTATTTTTTTTATTTATATTTTTCTCAACTAATTGGAATTACTTTTACAACCAAAAATGGCAATAATACATTGTTTCCTTAAAAAAATACCAACTTCCTATCAAGGAAGGAGAGTAGTTTAAGCTATCTTAGTATGGGGGAATATGTTATCAGCTAAATGAAAGCAAAGCAGTCCTAAGGGAGAGGCATCAAATAGAAGGTGGAAGGATCCCAATCAACAACCACCTTGAACAATTTGCCCTTCTCCCACCCTTATGTCCCATGCTCATCCAGAGTCCTGGGCAACTTTAGATCAGAAATGATCTAATCCAACCATAATCTTTTAATCTGTAATCAGTTACAAAAACCCCAAACTCTGGATGGCTAGTTTTGGAACAACTCTAAGCCCTCCACTAATGAGAAGAGAGGTGCAGTCAATTATCATTCACGAAAACTATGCTGCCCATAAGCATGACGATGACATCGCTGTGGTGAAGCTCTCCATCCCCGTCACATTTTCCGACGACGTGCACAGAGTCTGTCTCCCAGATGCTACTTTTGAAGCCTTGCCTGGGAGTAAAGTGTTTGTTACTGGATGGGGAGCACTGAAAGCAAATGGTGAGTATCTCAGTAGAAACTTCCAAGCAAAAAAAAAAAAAAAAAAAAAAAGAAAGCCTATCCCCCACTGGAATGGAGTTGTAAAATAGGATACAAAATCAAAATATAGAAAATAAGAGATGAAGTCAAGATGTCCCATGACGTACATGGCAATAACAAGAAATAAATCCAGATATGGTGAACTATGAAAACTGCTATTACTACTACATAGTATCTATGTTAATTGTCTTCTTTATGGGGTATTTTGGAAACTACATAGTCATAACTTTCTTTCCAAAAATAATTGAAGCATTTTTTCACATGATTTTTTCTTTCTGTTGCTAAATATGTAGAGATTCTGCTGTGGCTGCATGATACTTAAAGTATATGATTTACGAGCAGTAATAATGATAAGCTTCTGTATTGTGTCATATAGCTAAACAGAAACAGCCTTAAACAAGCAATCTGAATGGCACTCCTGATGCTAAATATTAATGGGGCCCTTCTGATCCATGTATCTATGGAACAGTTTTTGAGCATGAGAATTTATAAAGTTGACAATTATGGCATTTTACGACACTTACTAATACATAATGAACTGCAAAGATAGACCTTTAGATCCTAATGTAAGTTTCCAGTTCTTATGTTTCTTGGTTGGACTTATTATATACAGTTTAATTTACTCTTTAATTTCTGATTCTTGTTCTAGATGCTTATTATGACACTTTAGTCTTATTTATGTACTTGCTCAGGGTATACCTTTTACCTGAGTCTTTATCAGATGGTAGTTAGCATTTTTTAGTAATAAAGTATTTTTAATTAAGGTACATATATTGTTTTTTTAGACATGATGCTATTGTATACTTAACAGACTACAGTGTAGTATAAACATAACTTTCTATATGTGCTGGGAAACCAAAAAATTTGTGTGACTTACTTTGTTGCAATATTCGCTTTATTGTGATTGTCTGGAACCAAACCTGCAGTATCTCTGAGCTATGCCTATATAGCCGTGTCCTTTGTGGTGAGGCAGATTTCCAGATAAGGTAAACTGCCACAGATTACCCCAGGTGTTGCCAAATGCCCCGGCTTTAAATCTAACATTTTCTCCCATTTAGCTATCTGACTATGGCTAAGACTCATAACCAGGTGAGCTTTGTTTTCCTCATCTGAAAAAGAGAATACTCATATCTATCTTTGGTGGCTGTTGCTAGGATTAAATAAGACAGTGAGTAAATGTGCCAAGCATGGTACATAGCACATGGAAGACATCCTAAATGAATAATAACTTACATAAATAAATAAAACTTACATCTGAAGACTGTAAGCAAGCCTACAGCCCTATAACCTCAAATACATGTTTTATCACTGGTCCATCCTTCTAAAGAAACAACAATTAATTATCATAAGCAACAATGTGGAAATTGTTCATCTATTTATTTTTTTCTTCTCTAGGTCCCTTTCCCAACACTCTGAGAGAAGCTGAAGTAGAGATCATAAGTAATGATGTATGTAACCGCATTAGTGTATATGGTGGTGCTGTGTCATCAGGCATGATATGTGCTGGATTCTTGAGAGGAAAACTAGATGCCTGTGAGGTAAGAATAGACTCAAATTTGCAAAGTGCATCTGTTAACAGAGATGGCCTTACTGAACACAGACCAATGACACTTCAAGTGACTCTATGAAATTAAATTGTGGAGGAGAGAAGAGAGTATAAAATAGAGGGAATGGAAGAACCATAAGAAATAGTCCTTGTTTATCACTGTTTTGTCCAGAAACATATGTAAAAAATAATCACCAGCTGCAAACTAGAGCTCTGATTAGAGAAAAAGACTGCAAGCAGATGACAGAAACCAAGTCAGAAAGACACAAAATCAGTGATTCAAGCCATAGTCATATCCAACAGTTAGGTATCTAATTCCTCTAATTGTAAGGCACCATGGGATGTGATCTGCAGTAGTTAAAGACACAAGACTGTGGGACCCCCATAACTACCTCAAACAGGATCATTTCTCTTATTTAAAAAAAAAAGTTTGTAAGGGGCTTCCACATAATACCTCTTTTAAATGAATAGGCTCATTGCTAAAAGATAAAATTAGAAGTCATTTGTCTAAATTTGGGGTTAAATATATTGGGAAGTCCTCATGATTCACACACTCAAATCAGTTCACTTGGCAACAAAATCCTTTCTGTAATAAATGGTGCTCATTTTTTTGGATTGCCCTTTGCATATCTTCCTCCTCTCAAACCTACTGCAGCAGTGATACAGCCTCCCAGACACCTTCTTATCAACTAACGTGAGTGGAACAAGTTGAGATTCAAATTCAAAGCAGGAGATTATTCCTACCTAACAGAGTTAGGAGAGGCTTCATGGAGGAGGTGACGTTTAGGTGAGCCTTGAGGTTACCATTTATGTAAGAATTGGATGCCTGGACTTAGGTTCAGTTTGTGATGTCTATTGAGAGAAACTACACAAGGATAAAACTGAAAACTTAGCTTTATTCACACTACTTTCCAAGTAAAAACATTAATAAAGATAAGCAGAGATAATAAGATAACAGAGCGTTAATAGATTTAATTATCATATTAATACTAATGGTAAGTAAAAATAGTTAGGTTTTCATACTTCAAAATATCAATTTATTAGACACCCAGATTCTGATTAACTCATGTTTCTGACATTCCTTTTTGTATGACATTGATATTTTTTCTTCTTCTTTCCTCCAGGGTGATTCTGGGGGACCTCTGGTTATAGCAAATGATAGAAACATCTGGTATCTTATTGGAATAGTAAGCTGGGGAATGGACTGTGGAAAAGAAAACAAGCCTGGAGTTTATACCAAAGTGACTCGTTATCGGGACTGGATTAAATCTAAAACTAACATCTAATGCAGCAATCACCTCTGCAACCAAAGTGCAAACGTCATGTGTAGTCTCTAGCAAATTGTGTTTAGTATGTACTGTGATGTGTATTGTCATCAGGTTTCAGATGCAAATAACCATGATCTGACAGCTCTCCCCTCAAATGTGAAGAAAGCAGGCTTTCTTTCACGTCACCTGAAGTGTTTTGCTGACCATGAGCAAACAAGATACTGTTAATGCCACAAAGATCTGCCATTGCTAAGGGTCTCTGATTACCTCCTGCCTCACCTTTCTGTCCCCACTACACACTTCCTGTTTTAGAATAATCCAGCAGTTTAATCAGATAAGTGCTAGCTGGCTAAATACTCTTTATTTTTCTCCTGACAGAGCACACTGCCCTTCCCTAACTCCACAGTATTTATCTTCCTTGTCAAATAATGCTCATTAAGAATCTGTAGGTCCACTGTACCAGACAAAGCAAGGTAATTCGCCTTGGCCAATGCTAACATAAATGATGAAGGGGCACTAGACATGGAACCAGGACATAAGAGGTGGCACTACTGTTAAGTCCTTTTCCCTTTGCCCTCAGATGAGCATTTAACCTCTTTCTGAAACTTGAAAAAAAAATTGACATTTACATTTATACCCAATAGTGAAGATTTTAAACCCTTTAAACAACTACACTAATATTGACTTTGGAACAAGAAATAAATCCTTGGATCAGATAGAAGGAGAACTGGAAATACTGCCTAGCGCCGGATTTTGTTCTAAACTATGTAAGAATGTCTTTTGGTATTCAGAAAATAAAAGCAGTTCCTTAGACTTTTTGCCAGATGGGAAATGAGAAGAGGCAAGAACTCAATGAAAGAAGTTGCTTTTCATCTCTAAGAACAGGAGAGGTGCACCCTTCAGTAGCTCAGATCATAGAGCAGAAGACTGTAGACCAGACGTGTGTAAAAATGGGAGAGGTTCCAATCCTGGTATAAATTTACTTTTCACTTCTGTTAAATTATTTGCTAATGTAGTTTATTTGCTAAACAGTTTTATTTTCAATCAACATCAGAACAATTAAGGGACACACTGAATGAGAAGCCAATATAAATAATATATTCATAAATAACTTATATGAGAAGCCAATATAAAATTAGAAATTCACAGACAATCTGATAAAAGATTTGGAGGAAGACTTTATTAGTATAATATTTAAATTCACTGTTAAAATGATAGGCATTCTTTGAAGAATTATATTTATAGAGAATATTTAAAAAAGAAAACATCTTTGGAATGGTTTACTATATAAAATAGTCAATTTCATACACAGTTAATGCATATTTTGTGGCACTGTATATTACTATGGACTAGTGTTAAACAAAACTCAAAATTTCCCTGTGCATCTAAACCTTTATTTGCTTCCCCCTTCCTTTTATGAATAATTTAATTAAATAATTGTCATGTTAAGACTTGAGTTTTATATCAAGAGTCTCTTACCTCATATACTATTGTATACATTAAAATGTATTTATAAAAATAAACTTAAACTCATTCTCTTTGAATCATCACTATATGTCTCAACCTTGACATTGTGTCAGTAATGCCAAGATAATTTCTAGTTGACAGGGAGTTAGAGGGGCGGCACCATCCTCTGCACTGTAGAATGTTTAGCAGCTCTCCTTCTCTCTATACACTAGATGCCAATAGTAACCCTATCAAGTTGTAACAAACAAAAATGTATCCAGACATTACCAAATGTTCTCTCAGGGGCAAAATTACCCCTCATGGAGAACCACTGTCATGGGATCAACACTCAGAGGAAAAGAGTCATTGTTAAAAATTTTGTACCCACAATTTCCTTACATGAGTTTGGGAGTATCTTTCTTCTCCCCCTTTATATAATGCTGATGCGTTGAAAAAGCTTTAAGACCATCCATCATGATCAAATTCACATTTAAACAATCCTAGTCAAAGTAAGATCACTTGGAAACTGAAACTGGTTGGAGAAAGGCAGTATGAAGGCTGAGTTGATACAAGCAAATAATTAATGTCTAGATAGATGGATGAATGATAGATAAATCAGATAGACAGATAGACAGACAGACATACAAATACAGATGTAGACAGATCCTTCTATAGAGATACAGAGATCTCTATATAGAGGTATCAATATAAATCTGTATCTAGAGAGAGAAATTTGTCAATTGGATTGTGCAGTATATTAACTAAGAACTTAGACCAAATATGTTACTATGCTGCCATCTCCTGGTCTATGTTATTTTTAAAAGATATTTTATTGTAATTTCATTTCAAGCTATAAATTACGTGATCTGTTTTCCAAGCATAGAGTAAGACAAAGAAAAATCTGTCAATCCTGCCCCAATTTTTCCCTAAAGCAATTCAAGTTTAAAGTTTTGTATATCTTTTCACATTGTTCTGCTTATATAAACATAAACAAATGTATCTATTCATTTATAAAAGGTTTACCCACTTTTTTTCCCCCAAAAAGACACCATTTTACACACATACGCACACACAGAATATTTGGGATTTTGTTTCTGCCAAGATGGTAAAATAGCATAGGATACAAATCAGCCAAATCAAGTAACTGTGGACTAAAGAGGTAAATGTGTATCCTGGGCTAGAAAATCAAAAACCCAGGTGAGAGACTGGGTGATCCAGAACTGGAATACGGAGGCAGGGCAGGTGGCTGATGCCCAAAGTGGGATAAATGAATAGCTGAAAGAAATTATTTTTAAGTTTTACTCTGTGTCCCCCACCACCCTGCCTTGTCTTATATTGCTCTGGACAAAGTTCACCTGTTTTTCATACCAGAAACTAAACTCAGCAATCCAGACCACCAGTTTTGCAAGTATCAGGGTCAGTGCTTATGAAGAAGAGGAGCTTCTAGACAAGGTGGCAGTGAATCAGCTGCTTTCAGAAATTCTTTTCCTCACCCTCACTCCAGACCTCCAGCACTAGTGGATTCAAATGTAAAGAGTTGGTTTCCTCCCAGTGCTGCTAAGAACCTAGCTCTGTAGCTATTGCTCCTGTGGCAGGCCTTGGCTTGCAGAAGAAAGCCACTGCTGAACTCTCACTGGCTCATTCCTAATGCCTCTGGATAAACGGCATGGGCTTTCCCACCGTGCTTAGTTAATCTTCAGCCTGCTACTTAGCTGTGTCTACTTTTCCTCTGCAGAAGATAAAGGCTTCTTTGTAACTCCTCTCACATTTAACTGATTTTAAACAGCTCTCAATTTCTCCTTATCCCAATGCAGGGCAATGATGCAATTTAGCAGTAACCAGCCAATTCCACTATCTCTGCAGGCATTTCTCCTTCTTACCTTTTAGGTGACTGAACTATCACACCTGCAATGGTGATGCCTTTACCAGGTGGTTTTCCCAGGTCACTGCAGCTGTCACCTTATGCCAGAGATTAACTGTGGCTCACATGCCACTCAGAATCTCTTCTTTACTCAATAGTCAGGGAAATGAGTTTGTTGGTCCTTAATTTTCTGGCTCCCAAAGTGGGATCTGAGGTACAAAAGATTTATTGGGGGAAATTTCTGTGAAGAAATTGAGTTACATGCTGGAAGAGGCAGAGATGCTGTAGGATGCAGTTCAGGTCTGACATTTGTGTAGAAGACGAGGAGGGAAGAAGAGTTAGGTAAGAAAAGTCTCACATGGCAGTGCAGGTCCAAGACAATTTGGCCAAGCCTATCGGGAATCCTCCAGTTAAAGTCACCCATCACAGAAGCCCCACGTTTCCTAGGAACATGCCTGCCTTAACAAGCCTGCTGTGCTTGGTCAGAGGCTGAAAGAAGCTTGTAAGAAGCATGGCCAGTATTGAGTCCTGAGGCGCGCTCAGAGCACAGCAGCTGGGGCATCTGCCAATTAAATTCTCCTAAATAGAAGATCCGAGAGGCACATTTCCCCCATCAGCACAACCATGGATCTCTGCCTAAATGTGCACAAAGGTAGACTCCAGAAAGGATTAGAGACATAAGTGAGAGGGAAAAAAATGATTAATACAAAAAAAGGAAGAATATCTTTGTGACATAAGATAAGGGATAAATTGTTAAAAGCATAGGGAATATTAATGTAAGCACCACCTTCCCCTGAAAAAATACACGTGACCATTCACTGCTTCTGTTCGGTAAACAACACAATGGGTAGAATGGAAGAAGATATTCAAAATACTTAAAACTTAACAGGTAGTGATATCTAGACTATACCAAATACTCTTGCAAATCAACAAACAGAAAAAAGAACCACCTCATTAGAAATATGGGCAAATGATATGAAAAGGCAAGTTATAGCAAAGAGACAAGCATATAAAACAAATGCCTAAAGAATTAGTATTCATAGAAACGTAATTAAAACAAAAGTAAGGCACCATTTTACACCTAATAGACAAAAAGAATAATGATAAGTGTAAGCAAAAATGTACACCCTTTGTGGACTGCTGATGTGCTAGCAGTCGATTATAGTTAATTTATGTATACTAATGTCCTATGACCCCAAAATTCTATGATATCCCATATCATGCACAAAGTCACTTTCAAATTGTTTCCAAGTACTTTTTTTTTTAGATTAGATCATCTGGAAAGGTTTTAATTTTCCCATATAATTTCAAGCACAAACAAAAAAATCAAGAATACAGCAAGTTTTTATTTGCAAGAATTTAACTATGAGAGTAAGAGACTTATACGGAAGGAAAAATAAATGTTCTCAAGTAATGTTGCTAACCTTCACAGTCCTCAGAATCAATGACCCATCTCTAATTGTTGAAGGAAGGAGAGAGTATTTTCTCAGTTTGAATAAACTTCTCCAGGTTGTTAGAGTAAGAAGTAAAGGGTCAACCTAGCATTCCACGCAAAATAGATGACAGATTTTCTCTCTCAGAGGTTCAGGCAGAAGAAGAAAACAGGTTTTGTACATCTATCTTTTAAGCAGATTCTCATAGTTACAACTAATACTTGTAACAACCTGCACTAACTGGCAATTTTGGTTGGAATAAATACATTAACACATTCCCTTCTTTTTGTTTTAATTAAAAGTGTGGACAGTATAAGAGCTATGCCTATGATATTCCTTGATCATTATCCAAAACATGTCCTTTCTTTTGCATGGAACAGGGTAAAGAGTCTCCATAAATCTCTAGGGCAATAGCTTTCATAGGGACCATCTCTCAGGAGATATAGATATGCTGAGTAAATGGGATTCCTATTATGCCCTACTCACTTCATTCAGAACTGCTTCAGTATGATCTGCTTCATGTATTTAGTTTCAGCAAAAAAAAATTCATTTAGAAGAAATGGTTTCCCTGCTTCATATAGCCCCCCAAAATGACTGTTGTAATTCATTGTTTTAAGAGGACATTTGTTATCTTTTTTGATTTAGTCTAATAGAATAGGAAGAGAGGTGGGGTATAGATTCTTACATAAATGAGGAGTAAGATTTTGAAGAGAATAAATGCAGTTCATGACAATTCAATGGATTTGGGAAACCCAGGAATGGATAGAGGGAAATTCGGGAATAACGTTTTGTTTAGTCATATTCAGTTTGAGATGTCAGAGACAGATCTACATAGGACTATTCCAGGAGGCAGAACTTCAATGCAGAAGAATTCTAGTAAATATGTAAATGCATATATTTCAAACTGTGGCAATGGATTAGAAAACACAGAAGATGAGTTCCGTGATATTCAATTTGGCAATGATTTCTTAGAAAT